TTTGGACGAAATCTATAAAGTGTTTTCTTTTTTCTGACGAACATTTGTTACATGTATTGTATGGTGTTCGAACTGTCCGACCCAGATGGTCAAACCATTAAACCATCAATTCATTCAATTTAGACAACATTTTTTTTAAATTACAATCGAACTGAACTATTAAATTACTGACCCAAATTCTTGATTAGTATTTTGTATTTTGGCTCGAATGATAATTTGGTCTCTAAATTTAAAATAAAAAATAAAAAATAAAAAATTTGATGACTGTTTAGAAGAATCTAAAATTTGAGATCATTCATTTTATTCTCAATGTATAGATGGTTGATAAAGAAAATTAAACGACATTCTTAAAACATTTTTGACTTTTTAAATGTTACTTAACAACTGATTAAGGTATTAAAATTTAAATAGTACACTGTTACATTTTGAAAATTAAGGTATTAAAATTCATACTGATCGAAAATTTTACCCATCTTTTAATCACTGCACGTGTAATTCATGCAAGTTTTCTTACAGTGCCAGATTCTGAACCGAACCTGCTGATGATGGTTGGTGGTGCGAACTCCAATGGCTGATGAGCTCAGAGCTCTTGAGGGGCAACTGGCCAGGAGTCCCACCATCCCGCTCAAGCAAAGACCAGAAACAGATAATGATGTAATCAATAAACGAGAAAGTATTTTTCTTGTCATTTTCACTAAGGTTGTGTTTGGCCCTTAAATTTCTATTTCTTTTTTCATTTTGTGTAAGGATTAAAATAATAATTATAAGGATGTGATTTATTATCATAATGTTTTAAAACTTTTAAAATATATATGTATGGCTGTGTGTAGGTGCACTAACACGAATATGACAACATTATATAATATTTTAATTCTTGATTTTCTATCAAATTATTAACCTAAGAGGCGTATAACTACAATGCCATTTTTAATGGGACTACTCACATGATGGGGCAGTTTATTGAAACTGTGGATAATCACGAGGTATGGTTGGATATACCTCCTTTATGGATGTTGTATAATAAGGGTCCGTTTGGTTTGCTGGAATAGTAATCTAGAATCGGAATTAGAATGGGCTATATCGATTTCAACTGTTTGGTTGGACAGAATCAGAATCTCATTCTCATTCTTGCTAGATTTGAGGGAATGGCCATTCCCTGTCCTTTCCTTGGGAATGAAATCCCATTTCTACTGAATTTAATTCCCATTTCCATTCCTGTCTGAACCAAATAGACTATGGAAATGGACCATTCCGATTCCGATTCCAGAGGATTTCGATTCCAATTCCGATTACGAACCATACAGAACCTAATTTTATTTGTTGTAGAAAGTCTTTTTCTTTTGTACTTTTCAAAACAAAAAACCAAGTGAGAGAGGATATGACTATGATGCCAAAATACACCATACGAGAAAACCTTATAACCAATCGCATTATATAAAGTGGTAACCGATCAAGTGGGTTTTCATGAAAATTCATGGAGGGGGGGGGGGGGTGGATTGGCTTCCCATGGTATTGACAGGCTGGAGTTGCGAAAGGGCACTCGTCATGGCTCAAACGACTTAAGGCCCCGTTCACTTTTCAGTAAATTACTTGCCCGGGTAAATGCAATTACTTGGGTAAGTTTTTTCTGGGAAACACTTACCTAGGTAAGTGCATTTACCCATGTTCTTTTATTTCTCAAGTAAATAAGGTAATGACCATTTTAGTTATAAAAATCCATTATTAAAAGGGGCATTTTTGTCCCATTTAAATATTAATAACTTTTCCTCTTAATTGGGAAAGTTATTTAACCACCTAAGAGATGCGTATCACTTACATACCAGGAAAATAAACTTTCCCTAGTCCCCACATTAATCTGAAAAATAAATATGGGATTCTTGGTCAATAAGAACCAAAATCCCATTGACCAATTCCCCCCACCATTTATTGAA